ATATTAATATGGTTAAAATATAATAAAATACAATTTATAATATTATCAATAGTATTTATCCTTTGTCCATAAATGTATCACATACTAGATTAACCTTAAGGTAAAATACCATAGAAATGCAGGGAAATATCAACATTTTAGATTTTATTTAGGTAAAGACTGATGACTGTGGCAGGATGATTAATTATGTACAGTTCAGTAGTAGAGTACCCATTTTCAAAACAATTTCTCTTAATAATATCATTTGCTTAAAAATTTTTATTTCATAATAGTAGAATACTTTCTGACAATGTTAGTGCATAAATATTTAAAATTGAACAAATAAGTAGTTTTGTAGAAAGTACATTTTTTGAAGTAACCTTTAATCATTTCATTGATCTTATCTAAATACTTTTGTCATCAATAAAAAATGTATTCGTTCAATAATTAATACTTTTACAAGTATGCATCAATATTATAAGAAAATTATTCTGCTTCAAATAAAAATAATAAAATAAGTCCTAGTCATGAGAGCAATAAATTGTAATAAAGTTAGTGTTATTTCAATCTACAAACAATATTTTTTTTTTAAACACAAAAATTACCTAGAATAATGATTTACATGTTACATTGTCTTATTTATAGATTGTAATAACACTATATTTATTACAATTTAAAAAAATAGAGTATATTGTACACTATGATTAAATTAATTTGAGGTATAACACAAGATACCTGTTCAACTCTATGGCGGGTTTGAACATATGGATTGTAATGTGCTCGAATAGCTCTCATTGAAGTAGGTTCATAGCCAGTATATGACTGTGTAGAATATTCAAAATCAGAATCTGGACCACCGGGACAGTACACACATATATTTCCAGTCATATTTATGTGAGGACAACGATGTGGTTTACACATAACTGCAACAATTGCTACCTATATGATTTCAAATAAAGTATTAATGTATATCGGTACAAATATAGGGAATTAATAATTATAATTTGAGCCATAATAGTTTGTACTGAGAAGCTCTAAAATAAAAAAATATATATTTTCACACTAACTCCACTAGCTGTTCTGACAGGTTTTGCTTTTAACTTTGGATACAATAATTTTTTAGCATCATTGGGAACAGCTGAAATAATATCGACAAGTCGGGGAGATGATTTTAATCCATATTTTGATGATATTTGAGATTTTAACTTATTTAAGTTTACATCTCTGTTTTCCTTTTGCGCAATTAACAATTTCTGAATAATTTCAGCAACTGTAGAAACCATCCTTTCTTCATGGCTTAATTTGGATATATGTTCTACAACAATTTTAAAAATAAAATAAAATTGAACATTCATAAAAATAATTACGATTCTAAATGTACATTTTACTTCGCATTATTTAAAATGTATACACTTTAATTTACCCAACTTAAACAAGTTATATTTGTAATAAATATTATAACCGTGATTAAATTTAATGAAAATATACACTAAAATACCAACTATTTTAACAAATATTATTGATAGTATAAATGTAAGTATAATATTATATACTAAGTACTTACATTTAGGTATTTAATTTTTATTTACTCACCATCTAATTCAGACATGTTTGTTCAATTTTTCGACAACAATTTACAATGCATTCAATCAAATAAAATTATTTTAAAATTGTATCTTCTTATTCGAAGTACAAACTTATTTTTGTCTTATACTTTTAATAATGTGGTTCTGGTGAACTTGGTCTTGGACATTAATGTACTTTATGCAGTTAAGCAGTAGTGCAATAGTCAGTAACTAGTAAGTAGTAAATTGTAAACTCGTAATCAAATATTCTATATAATGTAGAGAATTCGTCTAACTACTAAAGTATTAACTAATAACTACTATAACTCGTACTTTGCAGTAATGTAAGATTAGATACCACGTGAATCGAGATAAACTGATAACAACAAAGTTGATTTGATTAAATGATTTATACCACGGCTGATATTATGATACCATACAGCGACCAAGCATGAGACCACGACGTAATTATTAATAGTGGTAAGTGCCCGCGAAAATTCAAAATTATTATTATAACAAACCATATTATACATTTATACAAAATAATACTGTATAAATGTGTAATATTATGATGTATACTATACTAATAATTAAAAAAAAGTCCGGATGTGCTTAAAAAGTATTGTATTTTTAGTTATCAATAGATATTTAATTTACCATACAGGGTGATTCACAAGGCATGTTCACCCTCATTTTTTCATTTAATAATGAATTTATTTGAGTTTTGAAAAGTCTGAATTTTTGAAAATTGTATCACCAAAGTACTCTCTCTAAGTAGTACTAAAAATCTGAAGAGTTTGAAAGTATGATTTGTTTGTTTATTTAAAAATTCGAAAAATCAGATTTTAAATTATAATTTTACATTATTGGAGAAAAAAGGCTGACAACCAAAAAATCAGTGTTGAAAAAGTCCAGTACATATAATTAGGTTAAAGGTAAAATATGATGTGATGCACAGACAAACTTCTAAGTAATTTGTAATGTGTGGGTGGTTCAGGCGGAAATCGTGAGGGGTTGGTTAAGGGGGACCTATCGATTCCGCCAATGTAGCATCGATTCCGCCAGTATCGACTCCGCCAATTCAGGTAGTCTAAAAACAACCTATCGATTCCGCCATCTACCAATTTCTACCTCGACCAGGCAACTGCTGCTGTCAACCTGTTTCTGTTATAATAATAATAATATATCTAAAAAATAATTCAATAATTAATTTAAATATTAAAAATAAAATTAATAATCAGTAAAGTAATTAATACAATACAATATATATATATAAAATAATACAATTAATTTAGTCAAATATAGTTTTAAGTTATACAATGATATTTTTATAGTATGATGGATGCCAAACTAATGCAATGTGAATTAATATATATATAAAATAATACAATATAATTAAATAAATAAAATTTTATAATAATAATAATAATATAGGTATCTACAAAATAAGTCAATATTAAATTTTAATATAAATTAATATAAGATTATTTTTTCCCTGCATGGCGGAATCGATAGGTCGTTTTTAGACTACCTGCACTGGCGGAATCGATGCTGGCGAAATCGATAAGCCTTATATCCAAGTATAAAAAGGTCTGGCGGAATCGATGAAACCCCTGGCTAAGACCCCCATAAAACAGATAACTTTATAATTGTATACGGAATCAAAACCTTCCGCTCACATTGCTGTTGAAAATGATGTTAGCCTCCCCCTGAAATTTTAATGAATTCCCTACTACTGAGAGACTACACCGAACGGATGATGTATTATCGTAAAACCTAGTCTTCAACATAAATTTCAAAACAATTAAACGTTATAATTTATATTTTATACTATGATATGTTACCGAGTTTAGAGTTAGTCCTTTACGGCTCACTTTGATGAAGGTAAACATATTTAAAACATATAATTTGCTTTAAAGACTCATGAAGTTCGTGCCGCCGTTTTTAGTTATATTTTTAGCGTATTTACTCTCCAAATATGTATAAGATGATAGATAAAATATTTTATAACTATTTATAGTTTTCTATAGTATTTAGTAGACATCTGCAGGTCTGATGATTGTCAACAAAACTATATGATAACTAGCTGATTCCGTGCACTTTGTTGCCCGTCAAAAATGCCAACTCTGCATACGAGACACGACGGTGATAATATACGAGCAGTTTATTATGGCTACCTGCTGTGGATTTCGGACCCCGCTTCGTGAGTACTTTATATAAATAATTTCATGTTTCGCACTTGGAATGAAAGTTAATACAACTTGTACAATGCACGTTTAAAAGTATATCCTGTTTCGATAGACTTTAAAATAGGATTGTAACAATGTGTAAATGTATTACGATAGTGTTGTAGTTGTCGAACATTTTCGTTGATCAATTGATCTGTGTGAACTTAAAAATAATGAAAGATAAAGAAGTGAGAAAGATAGTCTTTTAAGTAAGATAAATGTGGTAATGCGGCTGGTAATCGTTTTAATGTCCAGCTTAAACACTAGTATTATATTGCCTACTAGGCAATGTGCGAAAATTCAATTGTATGCGTGCTTATACCAGATCTGCCCGTTGAACCACTGCAGGCAACCAATATAAACAAAAAAAAAATACCAATTTCTACTAAATACCTATATATTTATATTCCTCCTATAACCAATAGCAACCGTGTATAAATATTTCCTTTGTAAATCTTAAAATACCTATTTGAGCGACTCCCCGGGTCGGACTAAAATTTTGAATCCAAACCGCACAAAGGGAGTCACCCAAACGCATATACAAAAAAAATTCATTGAAATCGGTTTAGCAGTTTAGGAGGAGTTTATTGACATACACACGTACAGTAAAATAATATGTAAAAAGATAAACACATTCAATTCGATGTCTTTTTTTCTGAATTCAAGTTTCCAAAAATAAAAATTGTATTGCAGATGACTTTTTGCGTTTTTCATTGCAGGGTTTCTTTTTGAAAAAGTAGTACGCAATTAAATACTCACCAAAACACTAATATTATCAAAAGTATTAAGGTACTTGCTCAACCATCCATATTAGTAATAGGTACTACAATAATAAGGTCTAAAAGAAAATAACATTTAATTATTTTTAAATGTATGATAAGGTGTTTACAATTGTCGCACTAGCCTGCGTAAAAAAAACTTATACCAACGAATATTTTCGGCAATAAATTACTGCTCGTTTGTTATATAATAATATAATTTATTGAACGACTTTAGACAACAGACTGAGGAACAGGGGAACAAGTAGGTACCTACAAGTAGAGAATAGAAATTTAAGCTTTTGACAGTATTATAATAGCTCTTTTATAATTTTGCTACAAATCTGCACCTGAACGTTGATGGGTTCCTATAGATTTCGAAAAGCATTTTCTCGAAACCTAAAAAACAAATAACGAGCGGGTTCATAGTGCTGCAATGCGGAAAAGAATACACAAATAACACAAATATATTTCTTACAATATCAGTGTTATATTATACTTTCAATGAATGTCAAAATTATACAATATAATAAATGTGACTTAATCCAAACAATATTATATATAGGGATGTCAATTGATAACATTCTAAGTACACATAATATATTTTTGTATAATAATATGTACGCGTGTGTGTTTATAATATAACTGAATTGCTATTATTATTAATGATATAATAACACAAAATATTACACTCCGGAAAAAAAAAAATCATAACTACATGAATTTATTGTGAACTAAATGACCTTTTATCTAATAAATATAATATTTAAGCTACATGCGTCCGTCCGGAACTATGTGAACGATGAAAAAAAGTTTATACACGAAAAATTGGTCCATTTACACATCATAAATATCTAAAAATAAAATATTTTATACCCATATATAGTGTTTATATATATATATTTAAAATTTTTTTTTTTTAAATATCATTTTATTAAATTTTAATCACTTAATCAAATTCTTTAATCGTTTGTCGTTTTTTTTCTAACATTTATCATATTATACTTGGTTATTAGGAATCAATAATATAATATAATAATAATATTATTTAAATATAATATGTAATATTAAAAAAAAATTTTTTTTTGTAATCTATAACAACACATTTGTATAAAGCAAAAACTTTGAAATTATGCGACTAAACTAAAAAGAAAAAATAAATAAATAAAAAAAGCGTTGAAGTAAAAAACAAAATATGTATATAAATATACCGCCGACCGGGCCTTTCAATGTATCGATACACAAAAGTTGTTGTATAATATGTATTTCGTCGTCGAGTCGTTACTTAGGTGCGAGTGGGTTTGATGGGCGGCGGGTGAGGTGAACGGAAAGCGTGGCTCGAAGTCGACGAGTTGGTAGTTACACCTACCCCTATCAGTCGTACCACCGGCAAACGATAATAATTCTTATATTAATTAGTGGATATGTGGAAACAATAGCGAAGTACAACGCGAGGTCAGGGAGGATATGATATTCTTTTTATCATAATATCATATATTTGTATCGTTGTCATCTGTTCGCCGATGAATGGTTAAATTCGATATAATATTATGTGCAAGTGTATGATTTGAAGAATATTATTGGAAAGATATATTATGATAATATAGTGAAACAGATAAAGTGAACAGGCGTCATCTATACATAGGACTACAGAGAAAAAAAATAGAGCGAAGAAGACTGTATGGTGGTGAGGGGGTGCGTTGTTCGGCGGGGGTTTTGTATCGATTCAATTACCACGCGAGAGGACCACGGTATAAAACGCTCGGCAAGCAAGTAACCGAAATGTGCCCATCATCATCATCGGTATATTATATAATATTTTGTATAAATTACAATGTGTATATAATGCGCACATGGTACGAAAAATCATAGTAATATTTTATTATATGCGTAGTAGTAATGCTAATAATAATAATATTATAATAAAAAATAAAATCAACTAATTTCCGTAAAAATACAAATAATAAGACTCGATGAGAATTAAAGAAGAGGTAGGTGGTAGAGCGGAGCGTGAGGCCATTATATTATATTATAATTATACACAAATATAATATTATTATACATAATAATTATGTAGCGCGCGCAGACGACGAACGAGTGTGTGTAATTGTGCAATATTTCTTATATCGAAAACACGATTTGGTTCCGAAAAGTAAAACAAAATTTAGGTACGAAAAAAATGTTTATCAATGTAAAATTAGGTACGTTGTCATTTCATCTATGATTTAATACGAGTAAAAAAAACTGCATAGTAATACGCAAAAAAAAAAAAAATTTCATCCATTATACGAACGACACTGATGTTTGTGTCTCGTTTATCGTCGTCTAGAACCGCCCTCCCCGCTGGTCGAAAACGTTATCGGTTTTGAAATAATTTGTCTTCCAAAAATAAAAATAATACCTCTCCCGATCACCACAGCAGTGTTGAGGGTGCGCGCTAATAATAGTATGTACACAATATTATTATAATATAGCTATCCGTTTTCAGTCTCGGGGGCCGACGATCCCGTCCGAAGGGGTTTATTTCGGGCCCCGCAAAGACACGAAACGGTAAAAAATTTAAGTTTAAAAACATTTTTTTTTTTTTGCCCATACATTGGTCGTACAGGTATTTCACATAATAATATTAACGTTTTGCAACGTTCGACAATAATAAAATAATAATAATTTAAGAAAAGAGCGAATACAATCGAAACGTTACGTAATAATAGTAAAATAATCATAATAATAAATAATATAGACGCGACGACGGTGGTGTGGGAAACCTTAGGCGGCGTCGGCGATGGTGCACGACGAAGAGGACGATGGTGCGGCGGCGGCGGCAGCGGAAGCGTCTTGGTCAGAGCGACGGCTTCTTCAGCAACCGTTTCTGCCGGCAATCGTACACGCGGCGGCAGAAGAATATCAGATCGGTCGGCGCGCCGTCGCCGGGCAGCTGTCTGGCCCTCGGGTTGGCCTCGCGCAACGGCGGCACCACCGCCTTGCACAGCACCAAGTTCTCTTGTACCGACTTCATGTGCTTCCGGTGCCTGTGAAGTGCCGGAAACAGAAAACAACATTATCGTTAGTTTATTAGAAATTACAATAATTTACAATATTCAATAATTGCAGTCTCACAAATCACGACTGATTAGACAATATAATACTCAATCATAGGCCGAACTGAGACCAAATTGTTGTTTTTTTGAGGGGGAGGGGGGAGAGGGCCATAACAATATAGTATATTCAGTGGTTAAAGTGGGAAAAATTTTGGAGAAATTTTGAAATTTTAGTCACCAAAAATTTAGTAGCATTCCCGAGTTCTTACCAGTCTAAATATATCAAAACAAAACTGTTTTAAGAAGCACAAGAGGTCTTTAACCTTTATCATCTTTTCTTTCGTACATCAATTTGTTTATAAGAAGTGTATGTCAATAGGATGTAAAAAAAATGCCCTAGGAAAAATGATCCTACCTACACATATTGCATGCTTAGTAAAAATAAATTGTAATTCATAGCCATCAGCATATCAATGTTAAAAAAAGCATTTCAAATTTAAAGTTGTTTTAGTTTTATATATTTCATAAAAAGACAAAATATAAAAACTAATTTATGTTAAATATCAAACTAATAAATTTCTTGTTAAGCGCTTAAATTTGTTGTTTAGTATCTAAATCGTAATTTTAACAGATATATTTTCAAAATACAAAAACAAAGCACATAATATGAAATAAGTACATAAATCGAAACACATTTCTGGAGGGAGGCAATTCCCATCTATATGTATTTGAATTGTATTTGAATTGTATTATAATATAATTATTATCGTAGTTACGTATATGAGCTTTTGAATTTTTTTTAAATATGGTAATAGGCAAGCGCATTGAACAAGTCGAGCGTCATATGGCATATCGTTAAATCGGTCACGATATCATAATACAATATGATACAGTCATTTTGATTTTAATACAATAAATACTGGACAATTATTCATAAATATTATTATGTAATATATTAAACGATTTGCAGCACAAAAATCATTTTTCCCCTCTTATTTTCGGTTTGGACGATCGCGGGGTGTAAAAATTCACGATCTTTGCCGGCCGAATGGTTAACTCCTACAAATGTAGTGTTATCTTCTACAAAAGATAGTGTTAACTCCTACAAAAAAATTAATATCATATTGCTGTAAAAAATATCAGACTAAACTCAAACAATACAGTTATACAGTTACGAGCGGAAATTTCCGATACAGATTATCATGTTTTATTGTTATTCGACAATATTCGATGCCATATCGCTGATCTATTTAAAACATTTTGTACGGCAAGTGCCGATGTGAACAAATAGTATAGTACATAATATGGATATAATCTAACCTTCGAGAATCATCATACAGCGTATAAACAAGCTCCATTCAAGCGTTTGTTTATTAAATAATATATATTTATTATTTTCAAGCTATGTTAATTTTGAGCTTTTTGAGCTTTTCAACTTCAAAATTGTGATTTTAAGTAATATTACCCTATTGTTTAAAGGGAAAAATGTCTATGTAGGAGTAGGAGATTACAATATCTTTGATTTTCAGGTAAAAAGGTTATTCGTGTAGGTGTTTACATTTGGCCCTTTGCCGATCGACTTCTATTTTTACTTTTAAATCCTCAATTTTTTATAAATTATAATCAAAGTATGTTGAATAAATAATATAATACGAATAGTATTGCGTTAACTGCTGTTAGGCTATATTACAACATTGCCGTGCGTTGTTTGAAATTGGTGAAAAAGACTTTCAGGAAATATAAAATTCTTTTTTACACAAATGTAAACACTGCAGTAGTTTCAATAAGTAGGTACTCGTTCGGTCTTGTTGAGAACACGTGTCTCAAACAACCGTCTTGTATGCATATCATAAGCAAAGAAAACTGTGCGTTACACACAAGTGTTGTACCTATCGTGTCAGTTGATCGGTTCCGAGTTGACGTTCGTATTAACGAATGCCCTCGATTCCCCACAGAACCCAAAGACGACCTTTTCGCACTTGAATTCTGGTGGGAATTGTAGTGTTCTGCTAGTGTATTATTACGAGTACCTACTCACACAACACTGCACGAGGCGGCGAGTATACACCTTGCCAGGCGGACAGGCTGTTCTGTGTACCTATATCTAATATATGCAAAACAAATTATTGTATTTTTCACATGCAATATTGTATATTACACGAAATGGAACGAAATCAAGTTGGTCATTATACTTGAGACTTTATTTCAGGGGCATAATTAGAGGGAGATGCTAGTGCAATGCGAATTCATCTTTATATTTTACTGCAGTTCTGTTGTTGCAAAACCCATATGACCGCTTTTTCAATATGACAATAACAATAACATTTTGGTGGTTCCAGACAACGATACCTATAATTTTTTTGAACTTCAATTCTTCGCTTAGCTACAGCAGACTTAAAATAATCTATTAAATATATTATATTTTATATTATAAATTTATCCTCTTGATTGATCGTTTTTAAAAATTTATCTACCCGGGACTCATATAGTAGTCCCTACTCGTATTCATCTGTATTCAAGTAAAAACAATAAATTATTCATATTTCACAATAGTTTTTAAACCTGAATAAGTAAAAGTACCTATTTTGCAAGCTGGTTGTTTACTTAAATTTGAAAAATACCGTATTGAAAGTAAGCCATTTTTTTCAACTAATATTACTTTTTTAAATAAACACCCGAATTCGTTGATTTTGGATTATTTTCATTTCTACTGACATTTACGATTTCCTATATATACATATATATTATGTAATATACGAATTCAGTTGAGTTAACGGCGGCTCGTTCGACACAATTTATTTCCACTGACATTTTCAATTTTCCATATAATAAAATATGAGCTATCTAACAGCCCGCGGCATAACACACACACACACACACACACACAGAGGTCATATATACGAAAACTTTCGAAGATGAGTCAAGTCCACCCTCGTATTACTTATATATATAGTACTTGTGCAGTCGATGACCGTTTTGCAGGGTTCGCGAAGGGTGTTTGAAACCCAGAAATCAAAAAACAATTAATCGGATTAGGCATGTAGCGATTTACTTCTCGATCAGTCGCCCCGAGGCCAACGTCGCCGCAATTAGTTGTGACGCGAAGTGATTTTGTCATTATTTTATTTCTCGTCGTTGTCAATGTCGCGTGTGCGGTTATAGCATTATTATTATTATGCGCTAGTAATACTACCCACCCGTAAATGATCGTAAACACGAATACAATAATATGAACATTAAAAAACCGACCACATTATTATTATCGCGTTCGATGAGCGCGTCATCGCAATATGTATATAGGTACTGGGTGAAGTATTTAAATCGGCTATACTATACAGGTACACACACTGGTTTTGATAACAGCATTTTTTTTTTTTTGCAATGGCTATGGTCGACTCCCCGTATATGCATTCACGTTTGATATTTGCAGTGGCGTAAGGCGTAATTAGGTGAAATAATTTATTCACTAAAATCGAAACCATAACACCTAGGTATAGGATTAATTGTTTGTTTTTACACGTCATAAAAGTCATTTTAGGGCATAGAAACAAATTATAGGTACCTCCTACCGGCCAACCTGGTTTTGTGTTAAATATAAAATTAAGTAGGTACCTATACAAGAATTCATAAAAATAAAGCTCCTTTAACTTGTTTGAAAAAAATAATGGGACGATAATCCTGAAATCATAATTCATGAAATAATATTATTTTTGTAACCCAGAAAATGCGATATGTTGCCGACAATACCTTAACATATTATTATTATTATTATTATTTTTTAATTAAGAAAAAAGCCGCGATTCTTATTATTATTCAACACGATAAACGTAAAATAAATACTTGTATATCTATATGCAATAATCTGAAGAAAAAATATGTTTATTTTATAAATGTATGTTAGTGTAGTGTTGTAGTTTATTATTTCTTTATTTTGGAAAATTTAAAGATTTATACTGTTGTCATATCTGCAGGGGGGGGAGGGAAAAAATGATACATTACTCCTTCCCCAATTACGGCACAGTATTACAAACAGTTTATTTTATAAAATTATATTATTCTTGCGCTTTTGATGATGAAAATAATATAATAATAGACCACTACGATAAAACAAATATACAAAGAAACAATTTGATTATATTGACGCAGACTTATTTACACACGAAGAACAATATTACAGAAACTGTTATAAAATATTGCACTGTTATACTATTATACTAATAGTATTATATTATGTTTAGACCACCCAAAAAAAAATTATCTCAACCAATTCTTGGCAATTCCTAAATCCCCCAATAGGTTGAAAATAAAGCGCCATCACGACCATCTTTATCTATACTCGTCCACGTAATCCTTTTTATATAAAACCCTATTTAGGAGTGCCGTCATGTGCGAGAGGCTTCTCCAAATCAAGTTTTTCTTTAAGTTAAACCATTTTCTGCAAATACCTAATACTAAATTACACACGTAAGAGGAGATCTAGGGAGCATTTGCATATTATATAATATTTTTTTTCGATAAATCTTGGAGTATCCCAAGCGTAAGAAACAAATTTGCTTCTCACTAATTCCTGAAGCCACTTACAAATTTTTCGCAAATGTTCACAAATGTATGAGTTTTTTTCCAGTTTAATTTAGCTAATTTAGGATTGAATGTGCTATATTTAGGAAAAATTTCATGTATGAATGCTGAATCAATAATCAAACGAATTTTGGTAAATTTATTTTTTAAATTAGCTCACCGTTTTATTAAGATAAATTTAAAGATTATTAGATATTTTCAAATAAGTAAGGAATCTCAAAAATATTTCACATTAATATTCCTGAAATATTATTACGTATACCTACTGTTGAAGGAAGTTAATGTTACGTAAAATATAAATCAAATAGATATCACAGTTATCTCAAAGGAGTTATATCATAAATTTACTTTATAAGTCCCAGTTACTTGACTTCACGTTAGCATTGCCGGCAGCAAGGTCTCTGGGAGGTCACTGCAGGGATACATTTCAAACTTCATAACTTCTATGTGACAAGACTGAGTTAAAAATTAAAACTAAACATGTATACTATGTCTAAAAAATTGAAATGTATTCTTTTTTAAGCTTATTTTCCAATTTTTTATAGTGTTAATAATTTCACATAACTATTTTGGTGTTTTTAACTGTACCTATAATATAAAAGCACTAAAAAGTATAAGTGTTTAGCTTCTCTTAATTGAGATTTACACATAAAGATTGCAGAAAATTTTAATGGATTGTATAAGTCAAATAAAAAAAAAAATCCCCGAGCAAAATGATTATCCGTTTTTTGAAAACCACAAAAATTGATTTGAATAATATGTAAATGTTCATAGTCATTTGAGTAAAATATATCGTCCAGTATAGTACTTTTAACTATTAGCATACGTCATGCACAAGCGCGTGCGCATTCGTCGTTCGCGGTACAAAAACAGCGGGGGCGACAGTGGCGCGCGCTTAATCGACGTACGATTCTAGGAATACTGTGCGGTAGCTGCAGATGAGTCGGCCGGCGAATCTCTGATAATAACAATACATAATAAAGAAAACAACAACAGCAACAATCACCCGTAGTACGAACCATGAAACGCAACGATAAACGATAATAATATTTAGGGATGGGCCCAATTTAAATTTGGACTTTGTTTTTTTTCTCGAACTCTTCGTGATTGAATTTGAAATAAAACCAATAATTTAACTATAACTTTTTTCAAACTTTAAATTAAATTTCAAACAAAAATTGACCCTGTTACAAGTGCAAACTCTTAAAAGTATTATAATAAATATTAATTACTAACGTTCTTCGCGTTTTCCTCTGCCTACACAATGTAGTGTATAAAAAAAATATTATTATCGTACTCGATTTTCTCGAACTGTAAAAAATGGTTCATGTGCGAAGTATTCGATTGTATCGATCAGTATTCATTTCCGATGAACTTCGAACTGTACAAATCTCTCCAAGTCCACGGTGTTCAAGAACCCATCATTTCTAATAATATTATTGTTATCGTGGACGAAGCCGCAATGTTATTTTGAATTGCGATGGTTCGTGCGCAGACGGACAAATCCATTCGTCGTCTATGACGTGTGCGGATTTTTTTTTCTATTTTCAATCTTACTTTTACGACAAACTAACACATACCGATGACACCTCACACGTATGTATAAGAATTATACAAGTATACAATTATAATAATTTTAAATGATGTTAGCACGTCGCGATTTCCGAGTGCGCTTTAGTTGTGCGCAAACTGCAATCGAGAATACAGAGGAACCGTAAATTATATTATAATTAAGAGCGCCACCATCGATGGTAATTTGTCGTATTATAAAAACATCATGAACGCGATAGATGGAGTTTTAGCGTTGGGCAGAAAACCGACGGTTAAAGTTTATGAGGATTATATTATATTATAATTATATGGTAGTATGGTACATGATTCGATTTAATTCCCAAATTTCATTAAATATATGCATTCATAGAATTTGTCACTAAAATAGAGGTAGGTAACTAACAATAAAAATATAATACTAGTTTAATTAAATAATACTACAATATAATAAAGTATTTAAATTACAATTTATTACATTATAACTGAAAGAAATCAATCGTAGAAAATTATGATTTGTTTGGTATATATGATTAATTGCACTAGTAATTTTTAAATTTATTTAATATCTATAATCCAGTCAAATCGTATTTGTTTTTATATCATTTTAATCCTCAAGTATATTGACAAATTCGATGGATATAATTATTAATCGAAACGCCCTTTATCAATTTGAAATTAAAACGATTATATAATAGGTATTTTTAAACTTAAATCATCTGTTAATATTGTTGAGTTTTTTTGTCCAACAATGCATATTATATTTTTAATTTTTATGTACTTATCTATCTATACTGTAAAGTGCAAATACCAAGAAGAAAATAAAACGTCAAGTCGAAAAAAAACACATAATATTATGTATATACATCGTAAAATTACATACCGCTGCTGTTTACTATTGTTGTTGTTGTTAATGAAAATCGATATTACCAGAATTGACGTATGACGTCGTCGTTTATTAGGTGTATACCTACTATTGTTATTAGGTCAATATTGTGGAAAGAAAACGACCCACAATAATACAATCACAATAACATTAAAATATGTACTTCTACCGTAAAATATATAATATTATTATTAGGTATTATTATTATTATTAAATAAATCGAAACGATATCGTGGCGGAGGCGATACGTTCGAAATAATATTGTATTAATACATATCATATTATAATATAGTTGCAAAAGGTGATGGCGTGTCGTTTCGGAATTCGAATAGGTACTATAACATTATAATAATAATACGCTCGTCACAAGTTCGTGCATACTAAAAGTGCATAAGTCGCGACCTGCATTATCGTGTATGGAATTTTTTTTTATTTTTTACCTTTTCATGTTACATAATTGATATATATTATATTTTGTACACATTTCGCGGAGAGCAGCAATGTAAATACATTATTGCAACGAGGTGACGGGGTTTTAATATTAAAAATCGTCGAGTTGGACCCTGCATAAATTACACGATGTTTCGAGTCATTGGTCCGGAGAACAGTTTCGGCAAAAAATTACGATATTATGTTATCGGTATAATAATAATGTATATATATAATACGACTTAGGCAAGACACGGACCTGCAATACTCGTTGAACGTCAACACGTAACACCGGTCGTCGATGCAGGCCACGCTGTTGACGTCTCTGTGTTTGGACGCGAACAGCTCGTCGGGCATGTCTTCCTTCAACCGTCCCTGTTTCGTGTGTTCCGGCCTGTAGTACCACAACAGCGACATCATCATTTCTCCTGCGAACACGCGTCACATTAACGGTTAAAACGAGTTGAGTATATATACATCATTATTATTATTCGGGCGCGTAGCCAGGATTTTTTTTAGGGAGGGTGTGTGGGTGTTTTAATTTTAAATTTAAATATAACTCGCTGGGGGGCTCACACACTACTCCCCGTTGTAGTCATCGCCATCAATATCCATATTATATAGTACCCAATAATATAATATCAAATATGATGATCACATGATACTTTTTTAGATGAACGCAACACGTTCTGCAAAGGATCGATATAATCCACGGAGGAGGATCTGGTAGAGGGTTGTCGATTTGCACTTGAGGGTAATAGCTGGCGTATAGTAGGTACGCCTAAATCGGGAACAGTCGAATTATTGCACTCGGCTATTATATTTATTATAAAAACGAACGATGCAGCATCAATAACTATTAAGTGATCTAAGCTCGCTATTTTTATTAATCCATGTTAAATTGATTGAATTCAAAGAATATGTTTTCAATTATATGGTGAAACCTATTACCCATCATTATTTTCATTAAAATATACACAATAATATATTAATATCTAATATTCAAATAATGAAATTAGATTTAATTGGTAATTTTTATTGTCTACTTTTAGAATATTTTAATTTTCTACAACTCGTCAAAGCAAACTTTCACCAAGTATCCAAAATTCACGGAAAAGTAATCACGTAAAAGGGGCAACAACAAGTTTGTTGTTTTCAACGAATCGCAATGCATTTTGACAGTAATTCGAAATCAAACTGAAATACTTAATATACCCAGATAATATTATTATAATGATCAATTAATAATAATATTAATTATATCGTGAAATACAAGTTTAAACAGTAATCATACAACAGTCAGTACCGGAGACTGATTTTTAATCATTTAAGCCTATAAAATAAGTACCACGGGTTACTGGTTTTTATTCGGTATAAGTTGTCGTAGGTAATTGATGCGTTGGTACACGTTATGGATACGGTATTAGGTATACAGTACACACTTCCCGAAGTCTCGTGTTGTTGAGCTTACAAATTGTTAAGAGAGTAAACGTGTAGACACGATTATGTTTTATACGAAAATTATACATTTTACATAGTTACACGTTCATTTTCACGCCGATGACCGTCCTAAATGTTTTTTTTCCATAATATGTTCATAATTCACGCTTGAATAATCAACAACCTATTATATAGTCCATAATAATTATAATTACATACCCTTTAATTGTAGCATAACTTTCAAGTTTATAGAAAAACATAATAGGATATAACAACCTGTTTTAAATAATAGTTAATGTTAAGTGCGTGATATAGATTTTATATGCCTAGGTATCTGAATAGTTTTAGACGGTTTTGAACAAAACCAATCCACAATGCGATATATCCGTGAAATTTTCTCTTTGTGTCGACTAATTGGATTTAGGTTTCATTCAACACAAATGTGGGCTATCGACAGATATAAAAACTCTTCTGTTTAACACTCTATATAACTATAAAACGTATGCTAAAAGCTCGAATGAAATTCGATCATTCCCTTTCTTTTAACTCGAGTGCAATATTGGACTACAGGTACCTAAAATAAACCTAAAATAAGTGCAATTCGACCTCCTAGAGTATTCTAATATAGTAGCAGATCATATGACAAAGCTAACTTTTAGTGAGAGGTTGATTTTTTTTCATTTTTACGAATAATTTAACTATAATATTAAACCCGTCGTTGGTCGCGTGGTGAGGTATATTATTTAAGTTACCACTGCCTATTTTGTAAAGGTTTATTTATTCTTTTAAGCATATCCATAAGCTCCTTTCTCAATATAACATAAATTTTAAAAAGCCACCAAACTTCAAATAACCGCTCTGCTATACTTTGAGTGTACTCCGTCATTGAATGTTATTCGTCACTATGTCATCTTGTAATGGATGTATTGAAATTGAATTGAATGATGAAAAACAATTTTGAGCGGAGACTATCTAACTTTTGGTAACCATACTATATGTTTACCAAACAATTATTTTAGTAATAATATGTATTAATATTTTGACAAGGATCTCCCCCCCCCCCGCTTGTCATTATTTAAAAAAATTATGAAAATGTTCTATTTTTGAACTACCAAAGCAAACACTACATACAATTTTCTACCAGAAACCTGTTTCATAGTTGATGATCAAAGCATTGTTTGTACTAGAAATCGTGTCCACAGACATAAAAATAAAAAAAACACATTATTGTAACTCCGCTCAGCATCTATAATAATTTTAAAGATCGACTTTCGGTTGTCAGTATTCGTCTGCGGTGATCTATATTTACAAGCGTGAGAGAAATTCATTTTATACGACTCACAATGAAATTAATATACAAATATGGCAAGATAAACGCATTCAAAGTAATTATATTTTCAAAAGTGATCATAGCCAACACAAAAATTGCATAATAAATATGTTTTAATAATATTATAAAATGTATTTAAACAATTGATGAATTTTCACCACGCGTTCGATGAAGTAAAATAATTAAAAAAAAACAAACGCGACCAACTTGGATAAGTTCAAGAATAATATATACAATACGTATATTATACATCATAACACATAAAAATAATAATATAAATAATAAATATGTATACAAAAAAAACATAACTACTCGAATATAAGTGGAAATCTTCGTAATAATATAATATACATATTAATATAATTAGGTTGAGTTAGGTAGGTACTCATAGTGCAGTTAAGTCACGCCACCATAATAATAATAATGATATATAAATTGCAGTATAAACTTACCGTTGACGGGGTCTTCCCACAAGTTGGCGATTTTGGCGATGAACGGCAAGTCGTTTTTCCGAGAACCCGACTTTAGAAGCACGCAGTCCCTTGCGTATATAGTGTCGCCTTGCATGTGACGCATGCACGGGTAACACTTCCTCAACACTGGCGTATCGTCGTTCTGCGTGTACCGACAACAACACGATATTTTAGTATTAGCTATTTTAGTTGTAACTACGATAACATATTATTATGTCCCACCCTCGGAATAGTCTATAATATTATTATACATAATACACTAAATACAGTGAAACCTCTCCTAACGGACACCCCCAAAAAGAGGACATTTTTTTGAAACAAACTACAGATCTTAGAGACCGAAAGTGTCTGGTATTTAGAGGTTTAGGTGTACGCAGGTGATTGGTGACCATATAAAGTACACGTATTTCAAGGGATATAGGTAGTCTTATAACCAGACACAAGTTTTGTTAATTATTACCTATAGTAATTGAGTCATAATATACAGGTCTTATAATACCATAGATTAAATAAATCTGAAGATAGGCAACGCCAGTACGATCGCATTTATAGGTCAGTATTTTGATTTAATAATAATGAGCGATGTACGATACATTGGCGTTGCCTATCTATAACGTTATTTTACCTATCAAACATTTTAATTTGGGCTCCCAAAGTAAGTCTAGTAGTTGAATACAAAACTATGGATAGGTAGGTAGAAATGATTAAAATATATGGTAAAGAGTATAGGCACCCAGTATAACATACAAGCTGAACACAAAAACTTTGGCATTTAAATTTTTTCATTTAAAAAATGTTAATAGTTTTTTAGGGGGATTTTAATTATTTTATGTATTAAAAAAATCTCAACAGTATATTTATATATGTAATATACAATCTAAAGTGTGCAAGACAAGAAATAAAATAAAAAATTCAATTAATTTCAAGATAATAATATGCTGTTTAGTGTTTATCCACGAAAATTCTTGTTATTTTTATTAAATTTATGTTATTTGTTGGCATATTGCTTGAGAAATTCTCTTGGAACATAATATTTTCTAATTTGAAATAAAAAGCTATTATATAAAATAATTTCAGTCTCACACATTTTTCGAGGGTTTCATTATTTTTCAGTTATTGATTCGGAATATATCTTACAATGGAAATATTTAACCCCAATAAAAATAATTGTAAATTGTGTTAGGGAGGTTACAAGAAATTGAAAATACTAGAATAAATTGGTATTTCTCTATAAAGGCTTTTTATTTCTATTACCAGTAAAATATACTTTCTAAATGATAGTCGTGCGTTTTTAAAACATCCTAATAAATAACAAAAATATTATGTTTATTGATGAATACCTATTAAGAATGTTTTGTTAAGTAAATAAATTTGATAATTTTTGTTCAACATTATTGTAGGTCGCATTTCCGCTATCGCGTTATATACTGTAATATTATAATTAGAAGGAAGGTACGTCGTTTAAAAATTAAATTTGTGTGTATTTTATGTTTAAAAAAATAATTTTATTTAGTTTTGGCTTAACTCAGTTATCATATCCTCGAACCTTTTTTATTTCATTAAACTTTATACTGTCACCATGATAAATTAAAACAAACGTAATTACTATAGTCTTAGTGTTTTTAGTTACGTACCTCCAGGTAAACTGGACGTTTGAACGGTTTTCCCTGCCATATCCAACCGTTGGACCACCTGGGCGCCAGGTCTTGGTTCTTGAGTCGGGACAGCTGCGCGAACTCTTCACGCATCCTCTGTTCCAGTTCCCTCTTCATAGCGTCTGGTACATATAGGTAACAACAATAACCATATTGTGATGAATGAAATACAAATAAAAAATGTCCGCATCGAGCAGGAGATCCAATATAAAATTATACTACCTACTATACGTACACGCATTAGTACAGTGGCGTGGAAAACTCGAAATAATTGTTCAGAGGCAAATCCAATATGCTACCCATATACCCACCCACCAAAAACCTGATAAAAATATTTAATGCAATATTTTTAACGATGTCGTAGCAAACACTAAAATTCTAGTTAATTTTACCCATCGGGGGGTCACCCACACCATGCACAAAATACTAGGAGGTAGGTTACTCACGATCACCCCCCTGTGATGCCGCTGTTGTACGCACAGGGCCGGATTTAACACAAGTGCCACCTTAGTCCTTCACTAATATGCCACACACTATGAAAGAAAAGTACGTAATTTACTGACGATAATTTACAACATTTACAGCCAAAATCCGGTCCTTATAAAACAATCTTCAATGCAATATAATATAATATAATATACAATCAATGACTCACCGGTCATTTCTTTCTTGTTCCCTCCATTCTTCCTGTCTTTTCTGCCTTTTTTGGTTTTCTTCGACACGCCTTTTTTCTTGACAAAAGCCTCGGTGATCATGTCGTCGCCGTCGCTCTCGTCTGTCAACACCGACCGCAATATTTCTTCGGTCATGCACTCGTCCAATTTCTCTTGTTCGGACTTGACCTCCATCGATTTGATGCTGTTTTTCCGGTTGACAGCGGTAATCAGCTGCACCGGTTCGTCTTCGGTCAATGTCGGTGGTGTAGTCACATTCGCAGTCGTCACAGTCATCGTCGTCGTCGTCGTCGTTGTCATAGTCATCTCTTCAACGTTTTCTTTACAGTCGTCGTCGTCGTTTTTGGGGACGACAACAGGGACCACGTCGTCGTCACCGTTTCCGCTCACGTCTTCGGCTTCTTCTTGGATTTTCGATTTTTTCGCCAAGACGATTTGCATGGGATTGGGTTTCTTCCTCTTCGCGGATCCCTTCATTACTATTTTGTCGCCGTCTACTTTTATGTTATAATAGCTGTTGTTGTTATTGTTGTTGTTGCTGATGGTGTTGTTATTGTTGATAGCGTCGTTGTTGTTGACCGGTGTGTTGCAGTATACAGTAGTAGTCACTTCCAGGCGTTCTCGCGACTTGGTCGACAAGTCGATGGTCTGATGAAGACCACCGCCATTGTCGGCTGCCGACGCAGAATCGCCGTCCTCTTCGCTGGCCATGTCCACCTTGAGCATGTAATACGATTGTGGCTGTTGCTCGTCGTCGATAGGTTCGACTTTCGGCACCACGACTTCGTGGTGGTCCATCGGCTGGTCCAGGCCCAGTACGGACTGACTGAGGACTTTGCCGATGGCCAACAGGCCGGTCGTATCGCACTTCTCTTCGGCGGCGATGTTGTTCCACTCGGAGGTGGGGTTCTTGGCGGCCAGCATTGCTGGGGACTGGGGTGCCAGGTGTTGCACAGACGCGCGGGCTGGGCTCAGCGGGCTCATACACCACGGGACTTGCTTGCACGGGCTGCCCGAGTTCGCGGACCGAGGTGGTCCGGGCACTCCGGCGCTGCCCCTGGCTGGGCTCGGCGGGCCATGGGCCCGCGGAGGCTCCTGCGGCAGTGCCAATGCCACAGGCGGAAGTGTAACTACTGTCGAATGATGTTTTGGCCCCTTACTGACTGCACCAGTAAGCGGGCCAGTATGTCCGTTTTTTGGATTGGGACACGATTGCATTGGGCACGGACACGAATGGTACGTTGGGTCTACGGCGTAGGTGCGGGGCGGGGCGGGCGAGTAGCACGACGGCCCGGGCGGCGCACCGTATGGCGAGTAGTAGAGCGGCTGCGGCGCGGGGTAAGCGTCCGGCGGCGGCAGGGACTGTTGCTGCTGTTGCTGTTGCTGGTGGTGGTGCTGCTGCTGCAGGTGTTGCAGGTGTTGCTGGTGTTGCAGGTGTTGCTGGTGCTGCTGCGGCGTCGGCGGCTGCTGTTGCTGCGTTTGCTGATGCTGCTGCTGCTGCGGCGGCGCTACCGGATGATGGTCCGGCCGGTCGGCGCCGGGCCTGGTTATGGCCACCAACATTTGCTGCTGTTGTCCCGCGGGCGAACCGGTTGGTGCCGGTGGCTGCCCGGGCGGCGGAGGCCCGTAGTACTCGTGATAGTAAGTGGGCGGTCCACCGGCCTGTGCGTAAGGCGGCGCGGCAGGCGGCCTTCTGTGATGGAACGGTATGTGGTGGTACGGAGAGCTACGGCTGTGATGGAAGTAGCCGGGCTGGTGATGAGGCCCACCGGGATATGCGCACGGGTTGGGTGGCTCCGGCAGGTAGTGGTGGGCTGGCACTTGAGGTGGTGGGGGTGGCGGGTACTGGAGACTGGCCGATGCCGGCGGCGACGGGTAGTACGACGGCAGCGGCGGTGGATGGTACGGGCCCTGCGGTTGGTACCGGTAACCTGGCGGTGTCGGCACCGATGTCGATCTGACCGGCACCACTTCGGTGTCGGATGACTCAGCGGGCGGTGGTGCGGCTGTGCCGGCCGACGACGGCGGCGTGGGCACCAAAGGTGGGGCCAGCGACTGTTTCACGTGTGATGGGTGGTGCAAGTGCACGTGATGCGGCACCAGGTGGTGTGTGATCAGTGGCCCGGCCGGTTGGTAGTACCCTGCGAATCAATAACAAAACACGATTATATAAACGTTATAGTTTTATCTTATGCACAAGTATTTAATATAACCATAAACCATAGTTCATAACCATGATAACCAATTACATATTATAATAAAGCATACAGCAAAACCTCCCCTAACGAAAATATTGTACAGTGTTTTATAGATTTAGAAAAGTCGTTGAATGCGCAGCTTTCTACGAGAAGAATTTTTTAAAACCTAAAAAAAATGAGACTTGGAAATAAAATTATTAGATATTTTCCGGAAATCACGGTTCGACGTATGAAGTCAATTCGGCAAATCATCACATTATGCAGAATAACTGTAATCCATCCAGGCACGAGTGTATCGTTACCCAGTATAGTGGTGGTTAACCACATTTGGGACGATAAGCCGTCGTTCGGCGGTGATGGTGTGGAACAGAAAACGATCGGTAAAGCGTTATAACAATTATTATTCTCAAAGAGACGATCAACGACGTATAGGTACGCATGTAATAATAATAATATAATTGTAATTATTATAGAACTCTGCATAACTTATCATATGATAATACAATATCCTTTAATATAACATCGTACGGACGAAATATGACTTAATTGTTATCCAATTACATAATATACGCAGTACCCGGATCAATAATATATATATATATATATATTATTATATTGTTATTGATTTAGTACAAACGGAAGATTTTCCTCATAGGTATGAAATAATAATAATAATGTATCAGAGAGTATGATATTATTTGGCTGTGGGTATTGTACCTATAATATTAAACGTAATAATATTATAAATTTATGTATACGAACTTATACAATATTATACTGATCAATACTCGCGGCTGCGATGACAACCGTTGTCGGCCGTATGTTTATATAATATCATAATAATAATAATGCTCCATTCGAATAATGTTTAAATATATGTTATAATATAGCGAGCGCATTGAAGAATCGTATCGGAAACGACAACGGGTTTGAAAAATAGTAATTTTTATCTGCCTGCGTGTTCTTCGTAAAACATAATATCGACGCCACGACTACCCATTATCATAATAATAATAATAATAATAATAATAATAATATTATACTGAGCAGGGACACTGGTCCGACGACACTTTAATAATAATAATAATGATATTATATTTTACACATTATTATAACATTAAACATCGTTATCGTTTTGAAATTGGGCGTTGGTATTATAATGACGACGAGTCTAAAAGCCGTGGACGAGCAACTATTGACCAGGACCGGTTTTTATTTTTTTAATCAGACCGAGTCATTAGTGTAACATATTTTATTTATTATATAAATATTATATACGTATCACACGTATTGTGTATGTGTGTAGAGGGTAATCGAAATTACTATGACGACGGCGATTGTTTTATTTTTATCCTTCCGCCATAGTCGACAATCGACAACTGCAGTGATTACAATTGCTGCTGCACCAGTCGTGGTCTCGTCCCAACTCGGTGACGAGGCCGATAAAATAATAATTAAAATATAGTATAATATAATACGACGCAATCGTGCGGGCGCGATGTCGCGTTTAAGCGGTCGTATTATTACTATTATAATGTCATAGCTATATAAATCAACATATTTCATCCCCCTGCACTGTACACGATTATTATTATTAAACGATTTAACGAGGCTTCGGCTGTGATTATTTTATGGAACACAACATGAGAAGCAACGAGTTCTGATTGACAGCCACGTGTAATGTAGGCGAGCGTTGAGTTCGAATTCGGGGAGTGCTAAATTATTATTGAATCCTGGCAGACCCAAACCCTTCCCGGCCCCGACGTTTTATCAACGAATAAAATATAATCTATACCTCAGCCACAGATTGGCACGTAGGCTAAAATTAAGCTTACATTTAAGTTAACTATTTCACTCAATAAATCGAAATCTTTGTATTAAAAAAATATACATGACAATTAATTAGGTACAAGCTTAGTTTAGGTGCAAACACACTTTGAAACTATTATCAATTAAATTCACTGATAAAACACAATTACGTCGTACGTAATCGTATAGGTAGATTCCTTAATACATGTGTAAAAATATACACGAGACTAATAAACTCTAGTCGATAGTGTGATCACTGTGACACGAATATAAGCATATTGTTAACCTTGAAAAATTATTAAAATACAACCAATGACTTATAATATACCTCTGTTATATTAAAAATCAGTACTATAAAATAGTATCAAATTACCTATTTGAACTTAAAACCAGAAAAAATAAAGCAATTCGAGATACAACATATAACGTACACATCTGGGGTGGTAATGGTGGTATAATTTGTAATTGGGGGTGAAATTCACCCACTATTACCCACCTATGAGTACCTATATGCGTGTGTACGCACTTATAATATACGGGTATTATATTGGTGTGATAATTATATACGAGCAATATTAAGGGTATACTTAACGCAGCATTTAGGGTCCTAACGCACCACCGATGATGGCGCGAGTTAAATTTGTACGCGACACACATACATATATTATAATAATATGTATTACTTAATCATATTATAATATTAAATCCATCGGAACCAACGTATATATAATCCATTACACAATTGAAGGGGTCAGTGCGAATAAAGTCAGCGTTTAACTGATTTTTTTTGAAAATGCATTAATGAATCGCAAAATTATTGTGCATTTATTTTTTGCATTATTATGGTTAGTGCAATAAACACCATGGCTACCAAGTCTGAAAAGGTTTTGATTCGTGGTGGCCGAAATAATAAATTGATAAATAGAGGGTGTTATCAGACGAATTTATCATCAGTTGTTTAGTGGATGGGAAGGTGGTAGGGTATGTAAACTCTGAACAGAGTGACAATGGATTTTAACACCATATAATATTGAAGAGCATTCCTATACAGTCGCATAGCTATCCTCTTATTTCATATTATTATGTATTGATTATCAAAAAGATTTCACAGCTTTTTAATATTAAGTTATAAAAGTTTATAAACAATTTAAAAATGTCAGTCATCAACTTTATCCAATCACATCTTCAATCATTATTGTATTAATATAGCTGCGGAATCAATTAGATCAGAAATGAAATTAAAACCAATCAAACGGCGTTACTTCGACGTAACAACAATTCAGAAAATTACAGGTGATATCATAAAAACGTGAGGTTTAAGTCAAATAAAAATATATACCACGGTCATCGGCGTAAATATAGTATCACACATTTTCTCGTCGGCGTCGACGTCATGGCCGCTCTATAGAATCATGACTAATTATATTATATTATATTAATGCTCGCGCGACATTTTACAACATTATTAATAATATATACCTTATTATTAATATATGACACGACGCGTATAATAATTGTATTCACTAAAGTTCGGTGCGCCGAACGGGATCCATGATACACTTCAAGAACAATCTGTGGGTAATACGTTATTACAATATTATATGGTAACGGTAAATTCGACAGCCAAAATCCTAAACAACTCGACCGAACCGTTAATACTCACGCCCGCCGTATCCCAGCAAAAAACGCGTTCCACATCGTTATTATTATAAATGTTATATTATTACACTTATCACCTCAGCAGTAATATACATTGCTAAAAACATTTGCCTTATATATAGGTACAATAGTGAAAACCTTATCATTAGTTTAAAAAAAATTCGAGTTCCTAATTATGTATCTTATTTTTTGTTTTATGTCGCGTGTACATAATATGAACTTAAAAGTTAAAAGTTATACATGTGTATTATCCTTGAACGTAATATAATATATAGGACACAGATAGTGTGATGATTTGGTCAAACAGTGCATACCTATAAATCACGACTGAGGAGAGGACCTGCGGTGACCAATATCAAGCAATTCAACTCTACAAAAATACAAACCATCGAGATGGATAAGCAATAATTCGATGTTTCAAATAAGGTATCAAACGATTTCAGTCATTTCATTTTAAACACAAATTTGTTTTAACTATTAGATAAATCTCCACTCTCGGGTAATTGAACATTTATGAATTGACGGTAATATACAATATCGCTAGGTACCTAAATATTCTCTAAGCCGCTAAAATGATATGCTTAAAAGCAAAAATAAAAATTTTTTCTTCTACAAATTCTCTGATCTTCAACATTGATTGCCCTACCCCTCCTCTCAGCCGTTTTAACCCATATTTATGATGAAAACCTAAAAATCCACAACGATTCATCGTCAACTGCATTTCCGTATCTGTCGTATGAAAATAGAAAAATAGTAAATAAAATCGTTACATCAAGCATAACAATATTATATTATCATAAAGTCGTTGACTTGGTTTTTTATTTTTAGCGAGTTTAAAGAAACTAATTATTTTGAATACATATACCACTACTGGCGCCGTGTACCTCTATCCGAACCGATATAATATGCGCTCGCATGACGACTTCAAGCGAATTTTTCGAGATATCGAGCGATCGAGTGCACAATTTCTTCTAATATAATAATTATTAATAATACAATAATACAAGTAAGTAACTTTGCGTGTTAACAGAATAATCTATACGCCGAGACTGAAGACGACAGCTGTATAATATTAGGTAAATTATTACATTATCGTGTGCCCAGCTACAATGGCTTACAGTATAATATGTAATAATAAAATATTGCATATTACATATTATTATAATGTGTTGCTCTAGTCCTGAGACGTTATTAATATTGAAAAATAAAACCGATCAAAATTTAAGACACGTCTGCAGCGTTTTACACGCGCAGTGCCCGACTCGGAGATAACACCCCTACATAGTAATTATTATCTGTACAACGAGAGAACGGCATGTTGTCTTTTTTACAAAATATTTTTAAAACACATAATATTGTAATTTTTACTTCGCGAAATTGTATCCGATAATAATGTTGATTTGATGAATAATATAATGATACTGCAATGGAAATGTAATTTAAAAAAATATGTTAATTAAAATACTTTCAAAAAT